ACTTAAAAATGATACCAGTACTCAAGCCTTAGCCATGAAAAGGTCTCTTAGCTACCCGTCTAGCACTGAATACCTCACAACTTGCAACAGGAGGTAGAAACAGTATTCGCCAAAAGATATCAATCGATTTTAAATACGTATATATTTGTGTATGTGATAAATAATGGTGTTTTTCCAAGACGATGATAACACTTATACGTATAAATTTCCACATGAAGCCAGATATCAAACTAGATAAAAGTATTTCTGCATCAAATTGACAGCTTGCACTAGAACCCAGCGCAATTATTGTGTAGGAAACGTAATGTTTAAAGTATTAACACGGCACCAATTACATCACAACTGTGGGACAAGGACTGAGATATTCAACAGGTAGAGTCTGTGGGTCAAAAAAAATAAAACAATCCAACAAGAAGCACTGAAAAGTATGCTGAATTACAGGGCTCAGTAGCTCCCGGTGCCCCCGAGAATCTCTCCGAGCTGTCCAGGACTGAAGCTCACACCGCTCTACTGCGCAACGCGGACGGCAACATCAGCAGACAACTGCTGGGATACACAGCTGAAAAAAGTCTCTCATTTTTGGTATGTGTTTGTATGTAAAATGGCTTTTGAGGAATTCCTTCACCTTTGTCTGTCAGCTTATACACTCATAAGCTATGGATGCCATCACCCAACTCCGAGTAGGGACAGCAAGGTTAATGAATTAAACTTCCGTTTAAGCTTTCTTACACATACCTCCCCAATGACACAATCCATTTTTCTTTCTTCTTCATTCAAAAAAAAAAAAAACACAACTAAAATCAGAGGGTAAATCATTAACTCTGTGATAACAAGCCTTTGCACAGTATTACTTGCGTGCTTCATAAAACTGCCAGAGCCGAAGGATGTCAGGAGAAGGCAGCAAGCAAAAGCCTCCCATACAGTGACTAGTACCAATTAAAGCAGCTAGAAGAAAGAAGCAAAAGTTGACTGTACTAAGAACGTAGGGATAGGGAAGCAAAGACACAAAAGAGACAAGAAACCTTGCAGTGACATGGTACACTTCACATTTGTATTCCATTTGCAAAGTGCTTAGCTGGATCACATTCTTTTCCATCAAATACAGTTTATAATCTATATATAGTAACAAAATTGCTCGTATTTGTTATGCCTCCAGAATTTTAAAAGTAACAGTTAACACTGTCATTACATCACAGTGCTAACATCTTACATTTGAAATAAAAAAAAAATATTTCAGCCAACTTAATTTGATAACTTAATTTCTTATACACATATTTGGACAGATTTTACTTGCATTCCCTCTGGTTTTCCTGGCTGAACTATTCACTATCTTGTCTTGACCGAATTAATCAATTCCTTCACTTCAATTAAAAAAAGTAGGTAAAAACAATACTTTGTAATGGTATTTCAACATCCAGTCTATAGCCTAACAGTAATTTCTGTTATTAAAATGAAATCCATCCATGACAAACCATAACTTCACGAAAATAAATGATTTAAGGTCTATAATTAATTTTATTTGAACTAAAAGTAGTTCTGAATTTTAAGTAGACCTCTGAAGAATATTTACAACGCTTCGGAAGTTTCTGCTCTACCGGTGCTCAATAATGGCCATCCAGCCTAGTCAAGGCAGACCCAAACATTTTCAAACAAGACTCAATAGAATTTTTTCCACCACAAAACGCTCAAAAACTACGTTCCATCGTTGTTGGGGGTCATGATAACTGCTGACCACAAAGACAGGAGAGACGCGCTGGAGCACTCTTATATTATCTCCCTGCCGCTTTGTGGGTGTGCCTACTCTTTTTCTACGCGTGCAAATATAGCTTCAGGCCTCCTGATCTTGCAGCCTAATACGAGTGCCCAGGGACACATTATCTACTCCTCTGTGACCAAAACCAGCTCCTACTAGGGTAAGGAACTTTACACTCCATGGATGCCACTGCAACAAAGCCCATCTTCTCCTTCATCACATGTCCATCTGCATCAGATCAAAGGCAAGTAATTAGAAGTTAGTTTTTTTTTAAGTTTAATTAATATAGCAAAGGAATCCCTGCAGAGGGATTCTAGCAATAGCAGCATATGACAGCTGCAAAAAACAACATTTTTGCAGAAAAGAACTAATGCATCCCTTTAGCACTTAAATCAGATAATACATTTGACCTCGTAGTTTCAAATATTATATTTGTATTATATTTAATGATTATTTGTACTGGCAAATAGCTTTCACGGCCTTTCTTCATGTTAGTGAAAGTACTATTCATTTTCCTGAAGTATTAATGTACGGATAAACTAATCCCTTATGCAAGCCTGAAATAGAGTTTAATGAACCTTCGTTATTCAAGCTACACATTTTCCTAAAGACGAAAAATGCCATGTACAATGTATTTTCCTGTATGTGAATAAATCCATTAATATAGGTTTCTAAACAGAGTATTTCTACTCAGCAATTTCTTTCTCTTTGGGAGGGAGGAAAGGAGAGAGCCAAGGGAGCACCCACTCCCTTCAGGGATGCAAACACCCATCACCTCTGAAAAGGGACTGAATTAGATTTGTAAGTAATTTCGTTTCAAAGCTCTTCTTAGTACATAGGCACAATTGCCTTGTAACAAATGCTTATTATAACTCAGTTGCAATCGGTTTACTATATTCTTTCTCTCATTTGAGAGGACACCATAACAGAAAAAGTAATTAAAGCAGTACATTAATCTAGAAATATCTTAACTGAGAATTGCAGTTAGCTTGACATCGTTTGCCTCTTAACAATCCCCCTCCCTAAAGAAGCCCATGTCAGGAATTAAATCTACTCTACATGCAAGCAAGATGTATTAATTTCCAGTCAGATTTTTATTGTAGGTTCCCTTTTTAACAATACACAAGCACCAGTAAAATTACCATTTAGACGTACAAAAAGCTGATCTGCAGCCTCAGTCAAGTATTTGAAATTCAACGTTGCATGCCACTAGAGTTTTAAAAAAGCGAGGCCTTCCACTCCATTTTGTTCAAGAAAAAAAAAAAAGTATCTGAATGGTGTTTCATTATACGGTATGCTTGCAAAGGATGAAAAAGGAAGTTTATCTTCATGGTATATACCTCATCTGTAAATTCATCACTACAGTAAGTTATTGCATGTGTCTCAGATAAACCATTTTCTTTCATTCCAGCAACTAGCTAGATTTAGAAACTCAGTGACTGAAAACATTGTGTAGTTTTACTGCCATTGTTTTATGTAAATTCTAAAATCACCACATTTTCTCTACGCAAGAGTATGTTAAGCAAGTCTACCTTCCAACTGGCGTTCTTAGAATTTCCTTTTAATGCTACCCTTTCCTACCTCCCCTCTCAATTTCCACTTGCACAGCAGGACTGTCATCATTACTCTTCAAAATGGGTCTGTGCTGGGTTTCAGATTATCGCTGGAAATGACCCTTCAGTTCTCTTCACTGTTTTGTTTGCTCAGAGGCTACTGGGAGAACTCTGCTGCTTTCCTGCTTAGTTCTCAGACAATTGCTACTGCTGCCAGGAACAACTCCAGACACATCCCCATTATTTCATTTCTCCAAATTTAAGCTGTAGGAAAATTTTCATCTTATTTGATAAACTTTCTTGCTCAGCTGTAGTCCTGAATCTGTTAAGGTGAATTTGAGAGCTTTGCTGTTACACTATACAAGCCAAATACCTTAAAGGAAGGAAAAAAAAAAAAAAAAAAAAGCAACAACCCCAGCACACACACATTTCCCATGCTTCCCATGATGAACTAAAAGCAGACACTATAATCCCTTCATCCCCAACAGCTTGTCTCAGTAAAGAGACATTTCTGATCACCACCAAGATGAGGTTCAAGCCCTTGTTCTGTATACAGCTTTTGGCCTCCTGCTTTCAAAATAACCCATCTAAATGATGGCAGGATACTGCCTATTTTAGGAAGGCAGATGGTCTTGCTCCCTCTCTGTGATGGACCCCAAGTTTCTGGGGAAAAAGACAATAAAAAAATTCAAATGCTTTAGAACCAATAAACACCCAAAAAGGACAGGGAGGGCATCTTGGATATACAGACTCCTTC